TCCTCTTTTAATCGCAGCATTGTAAGTCTCGCAGGGGTTTTTGGTGGTTGCGTAATCGCTTGGTGTGTGGAAGCACTGCCACCACCCGAATCGTTGGTTCAACCACACTTTCGAAAAGTACTTCGAGAAGTCCTCTAGATCTTTGCGCTTTGCCCAGCGCTCTTGCACTGCAGTTAGCTTATCCTGGAAGGCGACGTCGCTCGTGGTAAAGTACAAGTCGTGGACATCAGCCATTACCGATGTTGCTATGCTGAAATCCATGGAACGTGTTTTCTCGAATATCTTCTTCGCCACATGAAAGTAACACATCACGTATGTATACTCGCAGTCTTCCCCAAACACCTCTTCAACGGCATTCCACTGGGCTGCGTCGGCATCACCCATCACGTAGCGAACAGTCAGAGACTTACCCACCACAGTACGAAAACGCGGCGAAGTAGCTGGAGCACCTCGGTGTGCTGGTCTTGTTGCTGCTGCGACACAATAAAGACCGCCCAGAGATGAAAGTGTCTCGCTCTTTCCGAGATCCCAACAACGATGACCGGGTAGCCTACTTGAGTGAGCTTGTCCGTGGCGTCCAAGTGTAGAATAAATGATACAGCGTCCCGATTGGCACGGCGTAGAAGTTTCTTAGTGCTAAATCCAATCACAAAGGGATTAGCATCGCTCCCGCTGTCTATGACAGCATTGCCATTCACATCTGTGCGTTTCGTAAACGTGAACGCAGATGCCTCTTCTCCTTGACTGGTAAAAAAGGTTTCCTGCACCTTACGGTGAACGGCGGCACGCAGGTCGCTGCCACCAAGCCGCCCCTCGACATGGTGTTGCGCAAAGCGCTGGGCTCTCACCAGCGGTGGTGCGGTGGCCTCAGTTAGATTGAAAAGCTGGGCTAGCGCGCTCCAAATTCTTTTCGCCTTGAGACCTTGACTAGCCCAATCCATCACTGCCGTTTTCATTGCGTTTGTTAGCACGGGGGCGCTTGCGACGCGGGCAGGGGTAGCATGGGTGTAGGCTTCTTCGATCGTTACGAGATGCGTCTGCAGGCACGTCATGACGCGACCTCTCCGGGGGCAGACAACAGCTGTCGAGACGTTCTCGCAGGTCTTGCACGCGCAAGCCAGGCGCTGCATCCGCATTGGATGCGGAGTGGCGTTCATGCATACATAGCACTGTTTGAGATCACTTTTCGCAACACGGAACTTCTTAAGGCCTCCGAGTAGACGGTCGGCCTCGATCTGGGGCGTCGCAGCCGCGAGTGTCTGCCAATGGTGTCGGAAATCCATGAGGGGTGCTGGGGGGTGCTGGGGGCTGGCTTAGCGGGGTGAGATTGCTGAATGGTGGATAGTAAAGAAAAGCCCGAACCCCTCGAGGATTACTGGCTGTTTCTTTCGTGATAGAACTTTGACCATTGGTCAGAACAATCTGCCGAGCTAGCGTCTCCGGGACAAGAGTGCTGCCGGTGGTCTGGTGGTGTCACAATCACAATAACGAGTGGTTGATAGGTATCGGTCGGTGCCGCATGGATTTCCGGAGTGCTGATAGTATACTTTTGGTGTTTTGTTTACAAAGCTGGTGTAAACAGTACTCCCTCCCGACAAGCCAGCAGCTATTAATATTAATACAAGCGAGAAGTGGAAATGTACCAGAAGAGGATTGAGGTGATTAAGTTTCATGACAACAACGGAATGCAGGCTACACTAGACAAGTTCTACCAACACCTTGCACAATAAAAGCGTGAAAATAACGAAAACGAATTTACGAATGGCTGAAAGTCCGAGAGCGCATTGATTCCATGTGTTCGTCGTCAGTAAGAGCTGAACTAAAAGAAATCCGTAAAGTTAGCACTGCAACGACTACTTCTACAGCGGGAAAATATATTTTGAAAGCGTGGGAGCTCTCATTGCGCGAAGCGGGCGTTCCGGTGTCACGATTGATGCTACACTGAAGGCACAGGCCAAAGCCGAAGATGTAGGTATAGTACCTTTTCGTGGTAGCTGGGTGTGACAAACCGGTTTTTAAATCGCCATGGACTGCAAATTCTCGCCAAGGCGCGGCAAGGACAGAAGAAGCCGGCGGATATGGAGGCAGACGTGAAAGAATTCCGAAATAATGTCGCCCAAATTAAAGAGGAGCTTGGTGTCGATAAGTTTTCAGCGCAGACCAGGGTGGAGTGTGTTTTGAGTATTTGCCGAAGTATACTACTGATCCCAGTGTAAGGCTGACGAAGACCTTGTGCACCCAAACGCCAGAAGAAAAGAATGAGAATAAAGCGATCCCGTACAAGAGAGGCACTTAACACCAAACGAGGCAGGACTATGAGAAAATGCAAATGCGAACTTAACAGCACTCCAGTAGCTGTGAAATCAGTAGTTGTGCAGGCAGCGCCGCGTTGGGGACAGATCAGTAGTTTTCTACTGACCGATGGTATTTCCTCTGAGTTTGTAAGCTGATATGCATCATTCAACGTTTTACTAGGGGTGTTAACAGAAAGGGATTATACAGGCTGTGTAAGAAGTGATGACGCTTGGGTGGAGAAATCCGCCCCCTGACCTCTTGTGCTTCGCTCGATCCCTTCGTCAGGCAGTGACCCGAGACAGATCGTGCTCTGTCATCATGCTGCGCATAAACCGACTATCTGGTGATTGACCTAAACGTTTTTAGACACTCGTCTCCATATGCTACGGCTCGATTGGCATTAGCCTTATAGCGACTGATTGACCCTGAACGTGTAATCGACGTGAACGATGCGTTGCTGAGCCGAACGTCAAATTACTGGCCACATGTTACAGCCATAGCCCCAACAATTCAATCACAGTTATTCGGAGAGAAATGACCAGTCGCGCGCAGCGTGTGAGAGTCCAGCATCCGTTTAGCCTGAACCAAAACCTCAGGGTTTCATAAATGATGTTGAGCAATGGCTCCCACATCCCCTCTACAAGTGGGTAAACCTTGGTTCCCCTGGTCCGGTACGCAATCGAACCAAGTTTTTTTATATGCCATCGAACAACCTACGCGCAACCGTCAAACCGCGCCCCACGAGCAGATGATTTCGTACTACACGCGATGGTAGATTTGGTGACGACACTTTGTTAGAATTCTTCAAAACACCTCACTTCTGTCCTAATCTAGCCGCCGCATCGTACAAAAGCAAGCGTGTCCAAATTCTCCGATGGAGACGCGAGCAACCCAAGTTGGAGGACAGCAAAAGCACACAAGGGAGAACACAGGAAGATAAGGGAGGGGGTAGGTACAGCTACCATACTTTCTAAGAACACCGAGGAAAATATTGTAGTGTGGATAAATGAGCTCCGGGGCGAGGGAGTTCCAGTCTCTACGAAAATGCTGACAATCAAGGTCCAAGAGCTCGCAAAGGTTGCGAACGTTAAAGATTTTGCAGCATCCGACAAATGGGTAGAAGGTTTTAAAAGACGCCATCGATTTAGACTGTGGGCTCCCACACGCCAAGGCCAACTCAGCCCGGCTGATCTTGCAGCTATTGCAGCCGGGTTTTCGGCTCATGTAGCCTCTACAATGCAAGACCTTGGAATCAAGAGGCTGATCGAACCGGTAATTATGTTTTTACTACTAATATTCTTTTAATGTCGATTTAACGATTTATGCAGCCGTGTTTTTTTAGTAGGTAGCTAAAAAGACAATCAGCAGACGTGGTGAGAGGACTGTGTGTGGGTACGATGCAGCGGTGCATCGAAAGAACGCGTAACCACAATGTTGCTCGGCGATATCGATGGTAACAAGTACGCGCCGTTTGCCATTACTGCACAAGTACTTCTTTACTTGCAGCAGGCTTACGCGCAATTAGATAAGTCAAGCGAATTAGTTGATCAGCCGCCATGGAGGAGGTAGAGCCCCAGGCGTCACCAAAACGCATCAACCCGCCTTTGGGTTCGCCAGTCCAACCACTTCCATCACTGAGTGTTGCGCTGTGGACTCGAAACGTGTTTCAGCTACAGCGCGCAGCAATGATTGAACACACCCTGAAGCAGGAGCCCTGATATGTGACTGGATTCAGCATGCGTGGAAATCACTTCCTGCTACTACAATTTCTAATGGGTTCAAGCGAAGCAAACTGGAGCCGAGTGCGAGCTGCATTGCGTCGAGTCAGTTGGTGACCCAACTCGATAAACCTTCGCTACTAAAAGGGCTACCGGTAGATGAAAGTGATGACGCCGCCGTTCAAGACATCATCGAAGAGACAACTGTCTAAAAATTGAGATTTTGTTTCTTCAGTTTTTAACATCATTTTTGAAGGGACACCTATCCATCATAACCTGGGGTGTATCGGTCTACATGCGAAATACGGTAGTTTGGCTTTTTTAATTTTCTTATGTAAGCCAGTCAAGCTAATTTTGTGAGCTCTGAGTCTATCTGGGGAAAGCGAACCGAACGGTGCGACTTTGTACTCAGAGCTTCCAATGGTGGTAGCTTTTTGTACTTAATGATGGGAACTAGACCTGATCTCGCATACTTCCTACGAGAAGTCAGTCAATTTCTGGTAAAGCCAGGAAAACCTCGCTGGAATGCCGTTAAGAAAGGTTTGGAGTACTTGAACGGTACGCGCGGCCTTGGCATCACCCTTGGCGGAAAGCAATACCTAGAGCAGTATAAGTCAAAGCATTATCTCAATATCATAGCAATCGAGGAAGCACCACACCGTTGCTTTGTCCACAACAAAGGCCGAATACATAGCCCTACGCCACTGCATGCAAGAAGTTATTACTTAAAGCTTCTTTTAGTAAATCTTAAAAACGAAAGTTCGCATGCTATTACTCTATTTGAGGACAAGTAAAGTTGTATTAAACTCTCCTACAGCCCAGAACCGCATGGCAGAAACAAACACACTGACTTTCGATATCACTTTGTAAAGTAGAGCGAGAAGAATTTGAGATTCGATACTGCAATACCATAGAAATGGTAGCAGACATTTTTACAAAGGCACTACCAAAACCCTTTTTTATACATCTAAGAGGGTCACTATGTAAGACACTCATACAGAAAAGTATACAACATCAAATTTTTAAAAGCAAAAACAAATTATTTAAATATTAAAGCTTAGCACGAGGAATGTCCTCAATTGAGTACACCTCATCTATTGTCTCAAAGACTTGTCAAAGGTCTTCCTGGTTAGGGAAGTAGTGATAGGTGTCGGAATCGATGAACACAAACTTGTTACCAACCCAGGCACGAGCAATACAATGCCGTGTAGCCGCCCATTGTCCAGGCCGCCTACCTATAATCAGCAGAACCGATTTCGACTCCGCGCGATGGATGCAGGTCGCTTGAGTCTGTTTTTAAACCCCGACCTTGTGTGCAGGTAAATCAGCTGTTTCAGTCAGCTATCCGGTTGTGAGCCGTGTGTGGGGTCTCGAGCGAGTCTGCCCGCTGCAGTATCTCGTCGCGATTAGCTGCTTGGCGGTGAACGGAAACGTTCGCGTCGTGGAGGCACACGTCGAGACGCTGTTCCAGTGCACGGGAACTCGCAGCGCAAGTATTCCGCGGAGGCTAGGCCTCCCCCAGCTCTACTTGATGATCACGGTGATCTCCCCATTCTCGTGGAGGGCCTTGTGGCGCGACGTCGGCGCCAGGGTCGTACTCAGTACCGTGTGAAGTGGCGAAGTTACCCTCATTTACAGGACTTATGGGAGGTCGAAGAGCTTATCCGTGAGGATTGTCCTGACGTCGTTGATGCGTATGATCTGACCCATCCCCTGCTAGCGCGTCAGCAGGGCTTGCGAAAGATTCGCCAGGCTCCGAGCGCCTCCCACCAGTAGTGCGAGGTGTCTACAGGTCAGTAGCGTAGCTCAGGCTCTGACCAGTCCCTAGAGCAACTGGCTCGATGTAGGAGCCGCAGTGCTCCCAGTGGGAGCAGGAGGTAGGGACCTCGTGGGGTTGGGACATAGCCCCGATGGATGTTGACGCTTTGCGTTTCTTGACCAAACAACGCGATGGACGCGCGTGTGTTTCACAGAAACGTGTTCATAATGAGCGTCCGAACGTGGAGGGAGGCTGTAGCAGGTGGTGTGTTCCGGGCGGGATCAAACCACAGACTATTGGCATGTGAAGCGAATGCTCTACCATTGCGTTACGAGGACGATACCTGTCAGCTTTGCTGCATTTGCGATACTGCTCAACATTTGTGGGCTCGAGTGAGATTTAACACAAACCTCTCGCTTGCAAAGCGAGTGCTCGACCACTGAGCTAAAAGGGCGATGCCCTTCAGCTTGTAGAAGCTTTAACAACAGCTCGTGGAACGAGAGGGCTGTGCCCTTCTGGGATTGAGCCTCTGGCCGTTCATTGTGAGGCGAGTGCTCGGCCGCTCAGCTTTTGCCTGCGACTGTAATGAGTCAAGAGACTAGCTCTAATTCGTTTGGCAAGCACCTGGGAGACGCGGCGCGTGCGGGGTAGTCTTGATATCTTTTGTGGTTGGATCGTGTCCACCGGATGATGAGCAGAGCCTCAATGATGCGAATGCGTTTGCGATCTTACATAGCGGCGGAACGCAAGCAGCGACCTCCGACGCACTGGCAAGGCGTGACCTCGCTGAGGAAGTTTCAAGAACGAGGATGTTCTCCCCTTAGTGGGGGGGGGGGGGTAAACGGGGTTACACGGTGTGGTACACATACACAGGGTAAGGAGTACCCGGAGAGCTAACAAATGCTCAGTACATAGGTTGTAGAGCTAACAATCTCTCTAAGTATGCTGGCAGAAAGCCACACGTTATGCATTTGATTAGATTTAACTAAACTAGATCGTTAAACATATATATAAATTTACCTCTAAACGGCTTGGCCGCAATGAAAGTAGATAAAACACTTCGGATTTTGAAGCAGAATAGTTATTTCGAGCTAATTACTCTTGAGCCCTAGGGAGCTTTGTATTAAGGACTTTATGAGCCCAACGTCTTTCTCTAACGCTAAAGCTACGGCAGCACCGCTGCAGCCACGGGCAGCAAGTGCTACAACCGCAGGGGGGGGGGTCCGCAGCAGGCTAATCAGCGGCAAGTCGTGGAGGCACAGGTCGCGGAGCGAAGTACTCGAGATGCAGGAGCAAGCCAAGGTGAACGTTCAGCTGAGCGACTAAACTCTCCAGGTCTGAGACCTATTCGTGTACCGGTGAGTGAAGCTGAGAGCCGTGACGCTCAAGGCCCGAGACCTGACTGTGAGTTAGCCTTGGTGATTGCGACCTATACATAAGGAGGATCATCTCTTCATAATCGATCGCTTGGTGATGAATGTGGGCACTCGTGCCGTGAACGCAGTCGTCGTGTGAGCGTAGACGCCGAGATGATGCAAACGCCGTTCTGGCAAGAGCTGACCCTACCCGGAGAGTCCAGCTGAGGCAAGACCTCTTTCAGCTCTGCTCAGTGAGCATGGTGAGCTCCGCTATCCCGTGGAACGCGTTGTGGCGCGCGTAGACGCCAGGACCGTATTATGTACCCTGTGAAGTTGAGGTGTTACCCTTCCTCTCAAAATGCATGGTATTTGAGTTTGTACCCCGGCAGGAATACCCTGGCGCTGTGGATGCTTACGACTGGACACATCCTGTTTCGAAGCGGTATCATAGCGTGTGACAGCGTCACCAGGCGCTGAGCGCCTCCGACTAAAGTGGGGAGACAAAAGGTCAGTAGTTAAGCTCGGCTAGGGCCAGTAAGTACAGAGCTAGACCAAACGTATGAGGGGTGCCCGCAGCGGGAACAGGATGTGAATCTGTGGGCGTGGTCCCGAAGGAAGCATGTCAATCGGGTTGTGCTGAACAATGTATTTGCACAAGCGTCTCGATAGACGCATAACTGGTTCAAAGCAACTTGCTCGATGGGCATGATCAAAACATGGATGCGCTGTAGCAGCGAAAGTGGTGTGACCCAGACGGGATCGGCCACTGACCTTTAGTACCCAATCTAGCGCTCTATTATTAATAGCACGTATGCGTCAAAAGCAGAAGAGCCTTATTGTATTGCGAATAATCCACAAATGGGGTAAACGTAATTGTGTAGCTATCTAGGATAGATATGCCTCATCAAATGTATTACGTGCTGCTATGGGACAGCGTAGTGAAAGACTTCGTAAGCTTTAGATTCGTGTACTGGTAGTGGGTTAATTCTTCAGGTTCTTTGTGTGTCCCCCACGTTTTAACCTGTTATCGCTGTGAGGATCTGAACGAAATTCTGAATGTGAGCTTGATTCGGCTAAGCCTTTGTTAGCCTTCTGCTTACCCACCTCCTACATGCAATACACCTACTAACGCTCCTGTATAGTAGATCATTTCTACAATCATGCAGGCCCTGCCATTGTTTCTGAAAACTTGATTGCCACACCAGGGAATAATGCTATATGGTTCTTCGAGCGGTGTTTCGCAATAGTATCGCCATGCCACGGAAGCATCACTGCTCATACTTCCCTGATGTGGCGATCAAGGGTTTAGAAACCGGTCGCACCTGAGCTCGACTGTGGTTGAGTACGTACGCTCTTAGGCTGCATTAAGGCGGTGGGTCTAGCTGCGACACCTGCTCAAAGATATTTGATCGACGAAGAAGGTGGAAGCGTTTATTTTAATGGTGTCGACGCCGCTCACGGAGCGTCTGTTGTCACGGTTGCCGGTCCATCCTGCATTCGAGTAAACGAAACGTTTTGCTCCTTGGATTCCTTTGTATGTAATACCAGCATCCTTAGTTTTAAACGGGATCTATGATATCACGTCGATGACAAGCTTTGTCGGCGGTCGTGTTAGGTGCCAGTACCAACGGCGGATACCTGGGCTGCACGCAGATGGTCAATATACCACCAGCCCTTTCACTGCGCGGTAGTAGCTGAAGGGCAAGTTTTGGATGAAACACAACAAAATTTGGAGAAAAATCGGGATCCTGGTCAAATTCATTCTATCCTTTTGTGTGTGCACGCTTCTAGTAATGCGCTTCATCAACTATCAAAGGGGTGAGAATCCGCTGACAATTGAAATTCTGAAAACTTTGAGGTATTTGTTTGATAAAGATATGTGCTCCTTTTAATTATCTACTTCACTTCGGTTAGTACTGACGTTTTTGAAAAAATGTGCTGTCATTTATTAACCCTACAAATTATTTGTTTTAGTTAATTTGAGCTAGTTCATTAGCTTAATAAACAGTTAAAAAATATATATTTAATATTCTTTAAAACTTTAAAAAATTCAAACTTTTCGAAAGAGATAGTAATAGGCAAACGGACCATCCGGCAGTGTTGTAAATCTTTAGATCGAGTCATATTGATTTAGTCCAATAAATACCTATTATCGAAACACAAGCAGGAAATGTTTCTGCAAATATCCCAGCTAATGCTATTTCAATTACTGATGGACAAAAAAATTAGAAGCTGACTTATTTAATTAGGGTAAGAAATACGATTGTAATGGATTTTCCGGAACTTAAATATACGATAAATAATATTCAGCGTTTTCCGCAACAAATTTCGGACGGCCTCAAATCCGCATATGGAAATTTGCTAGATATAAAATCTTACTAAGTCAATTGTAGCAGCTGTGGGAGTTGAGACATGATATTTTCGAAAAGTGGTTAGGGTTGCTAATATAAGAATCACGGGGGGAAGGCTACCAGCCTCTCTTTCCAAGATATGCGCCGCAAAAGAGACCATCACTCCAGCTTGATAAGAGGCTACACCTTCGCCGCCAAGAAATCTTCCAAAAAGTCGTCCGAATCGAATGTATTAAGCAGCGATCGCCCAGCAGTTGCACCGGCTCCGGCACCAAATTCAGCTACAGTAGTCGTCACCGCGGGAACAGGTTCCTCAGTAGTATTCGGAAAAGTATCATTCACATCCGGAATAGCAATGTCGGTAAGATACATCGGGCGGTTGATTGCAAGATCATTGGAGCCGCGCCGTGAAAATCTAACCCGCCATTGGATAACAAGGACAGAGGGTGCACTGTCGCGTGGAGCTTTCGGCCAGTTTCTAAGCCGGGATCGTTTTCAAGACATTGCACGGCATCTGTACGTCAACGACAATAATCTTCAAAGCTTCTGTGGTGATAGATCCTTCAAGATTCCAATTTTATCCAAGCGCTCCAGAAGACTTTTTTCGCACCTATCGGCTCGGTGTCCGTGTCACTTTCAACGAAGGCATGGTGACCATGCGTCACATACGAAATCCTATGCGACAGTGATTAGCTAACAAGCCCAACAAGTGGGCACCAAGTTCTATATGACCTGTCGTACTAAGACAGCGTACCGCTCCAGGTGAGGAAAAGGTTTGTTCTGGATGATCCGAAATGTGTCTCTAGACATACTTTTAGGACGCCACTTTTGTTTGAATCCCAGTTCTTTGCACCACCCTTGCAATCACTCCGAATCGTTCCCACATGTATGTGCCCCATTGCTAAGAGCTTGTGTGACAACGGGATAGTATAGTTGCTGTAGGTGCGTATCAGTCGCTGCGCAGGATTACCTCGAAGAACATAGCGAAGGTTAGCAACTGCTGTTTCTTCCATGTCAGTCTTGCCACAGTAAATATTGATTTTTCCAAAACAATACAACACAGTAAGTACAATTCCGATCACAACACGGAACGTCCCAAGCAAATCCCGCATTGCTCAGTAGCGCAGCCATCCAAAGTCTATTGCATTGAACTGGATGGACAATAAGCCGGTCACGTTTTCTCGTAACGGGGTTCTCCACGCAGCTTACACTCGTGGGCCGACGTGAACCAGGCGGGGCAGTGTCTAGGATGCCGTGCCCACAACTGGAGAAATGCTATCATGAGGCCATGAACGGAGATGATGTCCACGACGAACTCCACCTACAGCGCTACTCCATTTAGCGCTCAATCCGGGTGATCAATACGCTGTGTATTGGTCTCGTCGACATTGCCATGACAAACGCATTCATTATTCAAAGCTAGCAATGCGAAAGTCCTAGAAACCAGTATCGATGCACGCAGTCTTCATGCGTCGCATACACGCTGAATTTCTCGGGCAGACCAGTGAAGATTTCGCAAGCGGCAACGACATGGAAGTGCTTGTCACTCGCTCGCTTCCTCGCCAGCCCCACACCCTCGAGAAGCTCGAGGAAAAAAAAACAAGACAAAGAACGGACAATGGCTCTACA